ATGTTCCATAGCCGATCTGTTGTCCAGAGGTGTCTTTCCTCTTGGGGTCTAGGGCGGCTTCCATGAAGCTTTCGGCCCAGGCTGCTGCATTTCCTTTCATCATATATGACAGAACAAGGATGATCTTCTTCTTATCTTCATTGTATACCTTATCATTGATATCAAGGTAAGCATGGCATTTCATCATGAATCTCTTGGACTCTTCTCTGTCTCCATCGAATTCGGGGGGAGAACCAATCTTTAATTCTATATCTTTGGTTTGGGTCGACATGCTGTTTAGCGGCGGGAAGTTTGGTGGTGCCCCTAAGTTCAAGGCTCCGATCAGAGGAGTAAGCGAAGTCGTGGTGTCGGTAACGTTGCAGATGGCAACGGTTCAGGTGATAAAGACTTTAATCTTTTGTTACGACTGGGATTGGTCGAGCTATCACAGTCCGAATGGACAATCGACGTTAAGTCTGATAGACGATAGTCTTCTCTCGTATGAGAGGGTCAAGGGTTCTGGCTAAGGCAAGTGTCGCTGACTTCCCTAGAATCGTAATTCTTTAGACAGCAAGGTTGGAGACCTTGCTGAAGGAATGTTCCAGGTAAAACCCAGTAGATTAAAGTGAGGAATACAATCGAGTATAGTACAGTCTATATAGGCAATGTTCAAGTGGAGCTTGTAAATGTGCTATCAAGATAGAAGCAAGATAAGGTGGACAGCCCGCTTGGAAGATAAGAGAAGCATGATAAGCGAGATAAGGTACGACAGCCTGTTTTGGTAAGTAACTGAAGAAAGAAATGATAGGAGTAAAATGTTATCATAACAGCTTCTCCTCGATATGCCTATTCGTTGGTCGTCTACCTATGTGATGCTGGACCAAGCCGAGAAGAAGAAGCAAGTGAGTACTTATTTCCACTTCACGTTTTGAGTCAGTACTGAAGGATTAAAGTTTGTTGACACCTTTATTTATGAACTCAGCAAGAAGGAGATAAACCTGACGAAGCGGGCAAAGATCAATGCACTCAAGCTCGAGTCCAACAAATGGGATCGTGTTAAGTTATTCATAAACTTACTTGCTGTTTGTTTCTTATTATCATTCATGTTCATCACTGATTGTCCTGAACAGCATGCAGATAATGCCCAACAAGCATTCTCGTCTGATACTGGACCTGCCCTTTATTTTGCTCTTCCTGCTCTCGAGGGTCTTCATAAGGCCTGGACCTCTCACTCGAATAGCCCGAAATATGCTCCGTTTTATGCTGCGTTAACAGCTGCGACTGACAAGATCCATGAGTACTACAAGAAGTCTGCTGAATGTGATGCCTATATCATTAGCATGTGTACGTCAATTTCTTACACCATCTTTGCTTTTCTGATCACTCGTGCGAAGTACTTGATCCCAATCACAAAGATAGCCATTTCAAGAGATTCTGGGGCAAGGATTTGCACAAGGAGGTCCTTGAAGCTACAAACAAAATTGTAAGTTCATTTCTTCTTATTTTTTTGTCTACTCTAACATGTTACTCAAAGTTCAAGGAAAGGTATATCCAGATATATGGTGAGAACAATGCTCCTTTGTCACCCAGGAAGAGGGGGTCAGTGAAGTTGGCCAGTGTGCTTCGGGAGTTATTGAGTGACAAGGATAGTGGCAGCGAGATGGAGGCCGAGGTACTTATTGATCCAAAGGAGCTGTGGATGAGGGAATTTAACCTCTATTTGAACACCCTTGAAACTGTGCCTAAAGAAATGTCCGTTATCCAGTGGTGGGGGGTATGTGTCAAACTGCTTATTGGATATGATGACTTATTGGCTCGAATTTTTAGATTAATGCTCAATGTTATCCTGTTTGGGCCTCATTAGCCTGTGACCATCTCTGTATCATGGCTTCTTCAGTGTCTAGCAAATGTGCCTTTTTGGCCGCTGGGATGACTATTACAAAACGTCGCAATCGCTTGAAGGCTGACGTGGTGGAGGCACTTCAAGTCCTTCATTTCATGTATCAGTGGGATTTAATTTTTCGTGAGCCTGCTCCCACCTCTATTTTAGAAGTTGAGTTGGAGGCCGAGTTTTGTGGTGTAAATGAGGGTGACAAGGGCAGTATCTTACAGTCTGAGGACTCTGATATTGATGTTTAAAATTTACATAGAATATATCATTTTTCACCTCAAAGGCTCTGGCCTAGGCCCAAGCCAAGCCCAGGCCCTCTAAAAGGGCCTGGCCTGGGTTTTGACGAAGCCCGAGCCCTCTGAAGCCAGGCCCAAGCCCAGGCTTTCAGGCCAAGCCAGGCCCGGCGCATCACTACCCTGGAGGAGGAGCAGTCACACAAACAAACAAAAAAAGTGGTCTATTATATTATATTACTCATATTTATACTAAACTACAACTTAGATACAAGGGAAGACCTATTGTGGTGTAGTGGTGAAGCTGCAGTGAGGTGGGGAGGGTGTGGGAATAATTGATATTGTGGAGATTCCCAAAGTGGGCAATGTTTTTGGTGTTGTGGGGTAATTCCCACAGTAGGTGGCCAAAAATGTGGTGTGGGGAAGGTCCTGATAGAAGGCACCAGAAGCAGGTGTCTATATTTATCCTCATTTATAAAAATAGCTGCAACAAGAAGCTTGCAAGGCTTCCCTGAGGGATTTGCTGCATGTATGCATACTCTGTGGGGGCAAGGGATCCTAGGCAAGTATGCATACTTCATGTTCTACCATCCCCATACTTGTATTAATACATATGACACTATGGCCTCTGTGGGGCTACAAGGACTTGATCGCATTAAAGGTATCATTAGATACCTAGAGCGCAATGACCGAGAATTATGGGGAGGAATGCCCGAGGCGCAAGTAAGCAACTATGACATGTTCCTCAAGGAGGTTAAGGTAATGTATCCCAGATGGGATGGCAAGAGGCGCTACGCGCTCGCTGATCTACAAGCCATCGCATGCAATTATGCGAACAAGCTGATGCCCTCATACCAGGAGCTAAGCAACTACCTTCACGCATACAAAAATATCATGCAGCCGCTCTTGACAGAAGATCACATTGGGAAAGCCGAGCGCGATCGCATATTCATGGAAGGAATTCCTAAGGATGCTCAGGCGCTGATCCGCATGCGCCTCATGATTAAATTCTCTGATCATTACCCACAGGATCCATACCCATTTATGGATGTCTTTACAGCTGGACACTTCATGCTGCCTGCAAATGCACCCTCATCAAGCATGACAGTTAGTGCACCTGAGACAGCATTGTTCACTAACTTAGTCACAGCTACCACACCAGCGCAATTGCCCATGCAAGGTACAGTAACCAAGCGCGAATATAAGCGCAAGGCATCCGCATTCAACAACTGCTCCTTTTGTGGCAGTCTTGAACATTATTACACTCGTTGCACGGAGAAACAAAGGTACATCGACGCGGGTAAATGCAAGGTTAGCGAGGAGACGCACAAGCTCGTCTTGCCAAATGGCGAATGGATTCCAGGCCGAGGACTACTCAAGGACTGACTAGACCGACACTATGCGAGCCACGCTACGCTGGATATGACTGCTAGTGCAGGCGCAACAGCAGGACTTTTCTATCGTGTGTCAGAGGAGACCAAGGCAGTAATTGAAGTAGGGTCATCTGTGTTTGTGCACACAGTCATGCGAACAGACTCCAATGAGGACGATGAGACGGAGGATTTAATGTCCAAGGCACTAGCCTATGTAGCTGCAAAGTGCGAGCAGAAGCGCAACACCAAAGGTAAAAACGTCCACTTTGATGGTGTCGAAATACCCAGCAAAACCCATGCGCATCCAAGACCCGCATCTAGACAAGCCACAGTAGAGGAGGAGATAATCTCTCCCGAAATACAAGCTTCAGCTGACAAAGGTAAAGGAAAGGAGCTAGTGAAAGTGGCGCCATCAAGCATGCCAACAAGCCCAAAGGCGCCTCCCAAAGGCACTGCCCCATCATCACCTGCATCATCATCATCACAGGCATCATCATCCGCACCAGCACCAGCATCAACACCATCATCAGCATCACTGACAGCACCATCATCATCATATCATTACACCTTTGCACTCGAGGACAAGGAAGCCGACAAACACATTGTCGAGCGCCTCCTTGATTCCAATCTCAACATTCCTATAAGGGAACTATTAGCTGTATCTCCCGACGTTCACCAACAATTCCACGAACTTACGACCAAGAAGCGCATCATGGTAGGCGCATTTTCAGTGCACAAATTATCAGGGCATCCTGCGACCGATCAATGGTTAAGGCAATATGAAGACATGCGCATGCAAAGTGATGACAGCAAGATTGTTGTGGACCACTTTGCGTCCCTGTGCTGTATCCATGCAAAAACAATAGAGGGGCGCACTTCCACGTGTGTCCTAGATCAAGGTGCCGAGGTAGTAGTCATGCCAAGGGATGTATGGAAGGAGCTCGGCGTACCGCTCAGGTCGGACCATAGCCTCAACATGGAGTTGGTAAACACATCATGTGATGCGACACTTGGAGTTGTGGAGAATGTACCGCTTGATTTCAGCGCAGGACCCCTGTACTTTCAAGTCCAGGTCATCGAGCGTGCAACCTTCAAGGTTTTATTAGGGCGCCCATTCTTTAAACTTACTTCATGTTGCACATTTGATCTCCCTGATGGGGAGCAGGATCTCATACTAACTGACCCTAATGTGCGCAAGTAATTGCGCATTCCAACCCTACCTTGGGTCAAGTGTTTGCTTGCAAGAGACGCAAAGTGCGCTAGTCACGCGCTCAAGGAGGAGGATAAGGGTTTTTAAGTTTCGATGATCCGCAGCATTCACAGGGAGACGCCCATACGCACTCGTTTACCCAATCATTTTCATTATTGCATCATGTCTCGTTTTCTCGCATTGCAGGCCATACTGTGATATTAATACATTACATGGCCTACAGTGGTAGCAAAAATGTGATACAATAATTGTTGAACTCCATAGTGTACTTACAAGCAGTAGCAGCTAATGTATCACTGGTGAATCCAAAAAAGATGCTTGCATCCAGCCTGTTCCTGGTTCTCTGGGTTCTTTTGATTGTTCCTTTATTCTTTATATTTGTCAGCTGATGGTTCCTATCCCTACACATTACATCTCCGCATTTTTCAGCCCCACAGTGTGGGAATTACCCCACAACACCAAAAACATCGACCATTTTTGGAATCACTTCAATATAAATTATTCCCACACCCTCCCCACCTCACTGCAGCTTCACCACCACACCAAACAGCAAGGGATAATGGCAAGCAGCAGCAAGAGATGGGATAACGGCAAGCAGCAGCAAGAGATGGTGGCGAGAGCAGCAAGAGATGGTGGCGAGAGCAGCAAGGAGCTGACAGAGGTGGCAGCATCAAAGCATCCATATGGTTGATGTCGAATGGGTGAATGAGTGGAGGGTTCTGACATTTTCAAGTAAGGCATAAGAAATGGTCGAGAGATGAATGATACTACTCACCGACAGCCAAAGCCAAAAGTGAAAAACCAGAGATCATTGCGCATGCGACCTAAGTTCTGTGATTTGGGGAGGTCCTCTGTCCTGAAGTCTACCGGAAATAGTACTTACCTTCAAAAAGGCTAAAGGTAGCCTGATTAACCAGTAGTGTGAATCCCGAAGACAACAGTTTGACGTGGAGACTGAAGTTGTCATAGTCAAAGTCAAAGTCGATAATGGTTCAGAATGGTTCGGCAAGGCTAAACCAGAACAGGACTGTTGGGGAAGACCTAGAACTGAGAACTGTTTTCTGGTCCGGTTCTGGCTGGTGTGAGAACTGTGGACCGAACCGTGGAGAACCAGACCAAAAGTCTGGTTTGAACCATGGTCCTGGACCAGACCACGGCAGCACTAGAGGAGATCAGTACTATTTGAGAGCTGTTTCATGCTTGCTGGGCATGTCTGTGGGCATCTGTACAGAGATTGACAAAATAGTCTGCTACTGTAGCAAGCTAGGTAGTAGGGACCAAGCTAGGGAGCTGGGATACTGTACAGCTCGTTTTAGTTTACTGATGCACCTTTGCACGGCTGTGAAGTGGCGAGTGGCGACACAAATCTGTAATAATTTCTGGTGAGTCAGAAAGCTGGAGAGGCATCGCAATTGGCAACCTGACCATCAGGAAAACAGGGTGGATGGTGGTGAGGTGTGAAAGGGTTGGAGAATATGTTAAGCAAATCAGTGATCGCAAGTTTGAGTTGAGATGAAGTGGAGAGCTGAGTTAATATAAATTATAATATACCTTACATTCCCTTCAGCTTCAGTGAATTGTTGTATTCCAGTTGCAAAAAATGTCACTGGACCTATATGACCTCGTTGTACCAGCACACATGTACTAAGGATAGGCTAACCTAGGTGTTACACTTAGAAAGTGTGACACGAGAGAGAAGATAATTTGTTTTGAATAAACTTAGGTTTCGAACGATATGACTGTCCGAACTAAATTGTATTCGGAGGGGGTAAAAGATCAACTGCCCTAACAGTATGTAAACTAAGGTCTTAAATACTGTAGAGCTGGGAATACTAAGGAATATGATAGAAGGAAAATAGGAATGAGTCAGAAGAACAGTAACTAAGAGTATATTGGTTGTCATCGTCGATATTAGGCGATGACTTTTGACGAGCGTTACATACGCCCTCCAGGTCACCTTAGCGAGGGACCTGTTTCTTCAGGTGATGCGAGTTTTGCAGCCACGAGTTCCTACATAGCACCAAGAGCGTCTAATAGCGAGCGAATTAAGATCGCATGCAGTACGAGCAAGGCAAGTATAAGGAGCTTACCGAAAAAATCGGTATCGGAGATTTCAGATGCTCTAGCCGCTCACTCTAGGTCAAGACGTTCAGCCGCTTCGACAATTTCTGCGACGTCTCTTCCTGGGTCAGGGACTGGGTCAACTGGAGGAGGTGGTAAGACGGTAGGATTGCGAGTCTCTTCCTCCATGACGGCAGCTATCAACTGAGCCGCGGTGAGGTTGGGTACAGGAGGATGGGGCCTACTGGGAGGAGGTACGTGGCTGGCAAATGGTTTGAATGCTCGAGAGGCTGATCCACTAGGAGCTCGAGGGCCGGAACGGCGCTCACGATCACGATGAGACGAAGAGTGACTTTGACGGTTATCTAATGATAGGTGTGGGGAGCGATGATGGGAACGAGCGGACTCGGACCTGCGCTCAGCTCTGACCTGCTGGTTGAAGGCATATGCCTCCTTACGGGTTGCCAGCTCCTCTGTGAGAGGGCGGGTTCTGCGATTAGCAGAGACACGCTGACTAGAAGTTATGGGCAGCTTACTAGCTTTGGCCTCAGCTCTGAAGAAGCTAGTGAAGGTGCTCATGGCGTCAGCGTTTTGGGCTCGGGTCTCGTGTTGGTAGGGACCTCCTCGTCCACGATACCAATCACGTCGACGATTCGAACGACGCCCTTGTCCCGAGTGGGAACGAGGAGGGAAGGCGTCTACAGCCTCAGCAGAAGTAGCGACGTCGACATTCATGGCGTCAGCGAGTGGAAGCTCGGTCTGTTGGGACGCCATGAAAGGGGGAGAAGGAACGAAGGGGTTTGAGTAAGGGGATCCTCCAGACTCGTTTAAATAAGTCCTGCAGGGATTGAGCTCGGTTAAGTTTTCGAGTACAGAATCGATTGATGAATATACTATATCACGAGCCTCTTTGTACGTGCCAACGGTCGCGAACATGATATCAGCCGCGCTGGGAGATACCTTCTTAGGAAGGTGCTTGATGCCTGGCGTGCCCAGAGACTCTAAGTATTGGCCAATGGCCTCTAGGCGAGAGACAGCGTAATATGGGAGCCAGACGTGGTCTCCTGTGGTGTACTCTACTTTGAACAAGGCGTCAGTCCCTTGTCCATGATGGTCAGAGACGCGCGAGACTGACCATTCTTCAGACACACCAATATCTGCAATTTGCTGCAGTTGACGACCGGGGAAGCGTCGGTCGTTGTTAGGCACGTGGATACGCAGTAAATGGGCGTGGAAGGCTGGGTGAAGTCCCCTCTGCTTGAGCTCAGCGGGGAGGTCAAGTAAGTACGAGTTGTTCCGGTAGTCCTTGAGGACCTTGTAAGGGCTGATGTACTTGGGCGATAGCTTACGGGCCCGTCCTTTGGGTAGGGACAGGTTTGCAGTTGATAGGTAAATGAGGTCCCCTTCGACGAAGGGGGCCTCCATCCTCTTTCGGTTGGCCATTGTGGTGCTCTTGACGCGGGCAGAGATAACCGCGTCGTGAGCAGCCATGGTGGCGTCCTTCATCGACTGAAGGAACGACTTAACTCCAGGGAACTCCGAGTTAGAGTTCCAGATTAAGGGAGGAGGGAGCCGGCCGTAGTTAAGAACGAATGGAGGATATCCAGTAGCACTGGAACTTGCTGAATTGATAGCGAATTCGATTGCCGGGAGCTTGGACGCCCAGTCTTTCTGGTGAGGGGAGACTTGGGAGCGCAACATCTGGGTAATGGTACGGTTGGCCCGTTCGGTTGCCCCATCAGTTTGGGGATGAAACGACGTAGACATCCGAAGTTCTACGCCGGTTAGTTGGTTCATGCGCTGCCAGAAGGTGCTTGTGAACAGTGTATCGCGGTCGCTTACAATGTTAGACGGCATACCATGTAGCTTATACACCAAATGAAACATAACCTCTGCGATGTCTTTCGCTCAGTAAGTTTGCTTGGTCGCGGCTAGATGGACCATTGAGGTCAGGTGGTCTATCGCGACGAGGATCATATCGAAGACTCCGTGTAGAGTCCTCGATTCGGGGAGTGGACCTACGAAGTCAATCCCAATTGTTTGCCAAGGTCTGGTCGGGACGTCTAAGGTCTCTAGTTGCCCATAAGGCTGATGGTTCGATAGTTTAGAGACTTGGCACGTTGGACAAGACTCACAGAATGCCTCAACATCCGACGCTAACGACTTCCACCATACGTTCTCTCGTAGGTACAACAAGGTCTTTGAGGGTCCGAGGTGCGCCAGGATCGAGTGAGCGTGAGAGATAATGATTTCGCGCATTCGGCGCTCGCTAACTAGCACGTCCGGGATGCACAGGATCCGTTTGTGTGAGTTTCTAAGATAGATTCGCCCATTGCTTACTTCAAAATTCTTGAAGGCTTTTGGGGACTTCAAGATTTTACCGAAGAAGTTGTCATTATGGTACTGGTTCACGACAGATTCGTGAATGTCTATTAGAGGATCGCCAAGAGTGATAATGTCCGTTAGACGTGGGGGAGAGTCAAGGATGTTTTCGGCCGTTTGGGTGATTTTGTCAGGCAATACGGTCCCAGTTAATTTCGGACTCAGCCAGCCGGGTTCGTCCTGCTTCTGAGTCTCGATTATGACATCATGGGGTTCGTCTGGCTTCTGTGTCTCGACTGTGACATCATGGGGTCTTTGTGCCACAACCATTACGTCATGTGTCACATGATGCGGTGGGTGCTTGTTTGTCATGCTGCCGGCTGACTTTTCACTTTTCATTAGGTCTTCTCGCACTATCCCGCCCTCCAGTGACTTAGAATGGGGACCACTCAATTTCAAAGTCACTTTCTTGTACTTAGGTAGGAGGTCCTTCGGCGTTGGTAATGCTAACTCTCTCGCTTTCCCTTTAGATGTGGCGCTCAACGGTGCTGTTTCGCTACCGGGGGCACTACTGCCTGCGTCGGTGGACTCGTGTACCCTCACACTTTCTGCAGGGACCGGGTGAGTTTGGGCAGAAGGACAATATGTGTACGGGTACACCGGTGAGTCATCAGCCCCGCTCGCTAGACTCGGGCCACTAACGACTTCAGTATGAGTGTCGTCGTCATCTGGTCCACCCTCGTGTGCGAGTACGCGGGACGCCGTGCTGGGCATGGGCGTGTCATTAATGACGCGCTTTTGAGCGATACGGGCAGAGCGCCGAGCCTCGGTTGCGCCTAAGAACAGGGGCGTACCAGTGTAGACTGGGGAGGATACAAAGTTCAGTAATAAGGTATGTGGTGAATCTTCTTCCTCAATGCTCACGTATTCACTCGCAGACCTCATGGTACCCGGGGGTTCGTTGCTGTACATGCGCGAGAGCGCATCAGCCAGGGTGTTATCCTCTCCTGGTACGTATATTATTTCAAAGTCGAATTCGCTTAACGCTTCTAACCAACGAGCTTGTCTAGGCGACAACTTGCTTTGGGTGGAGATCCACTCGAGTCCCTTATGGTCTGTAAAGATACGAAACTTAAGGCCAATAAGTAAGTGCCGAAACCGTTTGAGTGATTCAACGATGGCTAACAGCTCCTGCTCATGCACAGGATAGTTCTGTTGGGCCGAGTTGAATTTGCCAGACCAGAACGCGATAATGTGCGCGGTCTTCATGTTATTTCCTTGTGACAGGACGCCACTGGCACCCGTCAGTGAGGCGTCAGTGGTCAGGTTCACTCGAACCGAGCCGTCAAGAGCAGCCGGGAGATCGAGAGCCTTCCTACGAACGTTTCGGTGAGTTTCGACGCATGCTTTAACCAAGTCGAACGCACGCTGATCCGTTGGGTTCCAGGACCACTTCGTAGTCAGTGCAGCTACTTTGGACAAGTGCTGCATGTCAACGCGAACACCCTCACAACCTGCGGCAAGGTACCCGACGGACCCGATAAATTGCATTAAGAGCTCCTTGGACGTAAGAGTCTTCCAGCTCACGATTTTGTCGACTTTGTGCGGGTCCATTCATATCCCGGCGTCATCAATGACATGTCCCAGTATGTTCAGCTCGGTCCGGAAGAGTTGCAGCTTATGTTCACTCAGGTAAAAGTGGTTTTCTCTTAGCGTATCTATCACGACCTTGACGTGTTTAACGTGATCTTCAGCGGTGTCTGAGTAGATGACGATGTCATCTAGGTATACGTCCATGAAGATCCCGAGGTACGGGCTGAAGATGTGATTCATGAGGGATTGGTAGGTCGCCCCCGCATTGCAATCCCCGATCTGCATGACGTGGCTAATCATTGTTCTGTCAGGTGTCACGAACAAGGTCTTGTGAACATCCTCCAGTACAACTCGTATCTGCTCATATGCGTCTTTACCGTCTAGTAGGGATCGGTAAGGTTTTGAGCTAATGTTTCGCAATATGGATTCGATGTCAGGCAGTGGTGAGGCCAGCTTACGGGTGTTCTTGTTACGTTGTCTAGTGTCCAAAATGGTACGTAGTTTCAGAGAACCGTCTTTAGTGGCCTTTTTCATCATTATCATGGGGACAGTGTTCGTGCCGCTCAGGAACTCCCACCGACCAGTGCGAATATAATCGTCACGCTTAGCTCGCCACAGTGGATGCATGGCCTCAGGGCATTTGGATTGCCGCCAAGCATATGCCTGGCTTTCATCAATTAAAGGTACTACGTGGTTGATGGTTCGTAGTGGAGGCAAAGGTGTCTCAACAGCTTCTTTACAGATATCTTTCGCATAGTCCATCAATTCCCGCCGATAAGATTCGATGATGTCGACCTCGGGGCTGGAGCCCTTCAGCTCTAAGACCTGTGTCTGGGCACCCCAGATCGGTAGAGGTGTGAGGCTCCGAATCTTTATCTCTGGAGGGTTGAAGCCCAACAATACCTGATGTTGATATAGGAACGGCATGCCTAGAATGACATCGTAGGCCTCAAGGTTGGCAATATCAAAGGTGCGTTCCCCAGATATGTCTTGATATTTGAAGTCGACCGTTGCACTAGCCTTTACGACACTGCGCGATCCCGAAACGGCCAGTTGCAGAGGAATTGGTTTATCTAGTAAGTCATATCTTAACTTAAGTTGGTCAACAACCGTGCTTGATATAAAATCAGTCAGCGAACCGGAGTCTAATAGGGCTCTACACGGTTTCCCATTAATATGGACAACCACCATGATTGACTTGGGGAGAATGCGGGTGGATCCCTTAGGTCTTGCTGCCAGGCGATGGAGGTAACGGATATCAGGTAAGTCCGTTTGCTTAGATTGGGTAGCGCAGAAGAGTTCGCTAACGATCACAGCAGGGTTATCACCTGCGATATCGTCAATCTCTTCCCATCTGGTCGTGATGTCTTCGATCTCTTCCTCATCTGCAGAGGATTTGTAATCGAGGAGAGGAGGGATGTCATCGTCCTCACTGTCACCGTCAGTAGATTCCCATGCGGACACGTTGCCATCGTTGTCCGTGCTGACAGTAGTTTCCCATGCAGACTCGTCGTCGTCGTCCGTATCCCACTCGTCCTCATCGCTCGATCTTACCCCATAGCAGATGCGTCCACACAACGTCTCATCGTCGTCTCCGTCAGTCGAGATGCTCACTTCGTCACACTTATCCACTACGAGGGTGGCAATTGCTCGATCAATTCGAGAGGTAGTGGCAGCGCCCCAGGAAGGCTTAAACGAGGATTTGGTGTGTATGAGTTCGTTATAGTGGTATAGTTTAAGATCCACTAACCACGCAACAATGTCGAATTCTGGGTCACACAGCTGCTCATAGTAGACGATGTAGTCGTCATAATTGTGCTTATCGGATAGAAGGTATGTGTTCGGTCCTCCGTGAGTTG